CGGTGGGGCGTGGGGGGGGGGGGGGGGGGGGAATATTTCTCATATTTAAACAAAACTTCACTGACATTTTCTAGGAAAAAAACAAAACAAAACAATAAAAGACCTTTTTAATGAAACATGAGATTCAGCCAACCCGATCTCATGAGAAAACATAACCTAAAGTTTTATGAGGTGGTAATTTTGTATGAATACATACAATGTAACTTGTATGGAAACATTTGATTTAAAAAAAATAAATAATGAAAGTCCACCCCTAACCCCATCTCTAAACCTAACCATCAGTGGGGCATACGCATAATGTATGAAAATATACAAATGAGATCATACAAATCCATACAAATTAGCCACCAAATACCACCAAAACATAAACTAGTTACGAACTGACTTGAAAGTGTGTTGGGACAGTTTCAGAACAGATTCAGGACAGTTGTTACCGCCTAGACATTTTAGATTTTATGCCACTAAAAATATAAAAATGACGTTTAATTAAAAAAATTTAAATGTGCTCAGTAAAGATTTAAATCATTGCATGCATGATTTTTTTATGTATTTTTTAATAAATAAATACAAAATAAATAAAAAATAAATTCAATAATTTCATACTGATACTGTACTTATTGTCTTTTTGGTTTCAGCCAGTGATTTCAAAATGAATAAATCTAACACTCAGCTGAAGGTTGAAGAGGGAAAGCAGCTAATGTTGAAATGCTCAGTGGAGGGTATTGGGTCTGATTCCACTCTTCGTTACTCCCTTACCTGGATGTTTAACCAATATGAGTCCTCCAGTGTGGCACTTCTGACCTATAGCCATGATGGCCGTCTGAAGTACAACAGCTTTGACTCAGAGCTTGAGGGACGACTCCACTTCTCTACTCCAGAAGTGGGTGTCTTTCACTTGACTATCCATAGATCCATCCAGGAAGACAGGGGGTGCTACTACTGTCAAGTTCAACAGTACCAGCTGGACTGTAAAGGCCAATGGTCACCTAAGGCAGGCGACAAGTCAGGTTTTACCAATGTTACTGTTCAGCTTATAGGTGAGTACTCTAAATTTCAATTTAGAATTCTAATATCATCAGAAAATTGAGAAGAACATTAATGCTGATTTTTTTCTATTAAATTAGAGAACAATCTGCACGTTCACAAGGAGGAACAAAGCCTGAACATTAGCAATCTACAAGCGGGGTTCACCATTGACTGTGTCATTGAATCACGGTCCAGTGATGCATCTGTGTTTGAGGTGACTTGGTCCAGGGGTCAGAGAAATGAAGGACCTGTCATCATCTTCAATGCCAGCCGTCATGGTACCTTACACAGTGCAATCGATGATAAAGATCTGGTGTTTGGACACCCAAGTGCCATGCACTATAAGCTGACAGTGCCAAACGTCAACCCCACTGATACTGGCCTTTACCACTGTCAGGTTGTTGAATGGATTCAGACAGCTGCAAACAAGTGGAGAAAGATAGGTGAAGACATGTCTGGGAAGATATCTGTCCACGAGGACACAGAGGAAAGGCAAAAAAATGTCAGCTTTGCCATGGACAAGAATGGCAAGCATCTTTTCATCAAGGAAGGAGAGCAGTTTGATCTTGAATGCTTCCTGGATGTAGGAAAAGAGGACCCTACTCATCACTACAGTCTCAGATGGGTATTTAATAGACCAGAATCAACTAGCGGGATACCATTATTGTCCTACTCTTATGATGGTCGTCTACAGTACCATACAGAGAATCAGGACAGGTTACGCTTCTCTAGACCTACTTCTGATACTTTCCATCTGGCAGTATTAAACTCTGATATAGCTGATAGTGGAAGCTACCAGTGCAGAGTTGAGCAGTACCAGCTTGATTGTGAGGGTCAGTGGAAACCAATGGCACGTGACCAGTCAGGCTCAACTATAGTCACAGTTCGCAGTATCGGTAATACAACCATTTACATCTTGTCCATGTTTAATCCCTTAGTGCAGTCTAACCATAGACTTTCAAAACCCTGTCATATTGTTTATGACTACCAACATAGGATCTTCCTTAAAAGTGTCTGTATGTTTTGTTCTTGTTGTTTGATATTTGAATTTGCGTTTAATTTAAACAGAAAGTAAACTGCGTGTTCAGAAGGACAACCGAACGCTCAACATTACAAATCATCAGGCTGGGTTCACCGTGGACTGTGTCATTGACTCACAATCCAGTGATAAGTCTGTCTTTGAGGTCACCTGGTTCAAGGTTCAGGAGGAAGAAGGATCAGTCACCATGTTCACCGCCAGGCGTGATGGTATCTTACACAGTGCAATTAGCTATACATATCTGGTGTTTGGCCGACCACTTGCCACACACTATAAACTGACTGTGCCACAGATCAACCCCACTGATATGGGGCAATACTACTGTCAGGTTGAGGAGTGGCTTCTAACTGCTAACACCTGGAAGAAATTGGATTCAGATAAATCTGGAGTGCTCTCCATCTATGTTCACACTGAAGGTAACTATTTAGAATGTAGAATGATTTTAGAGAACCCCTGCTGTAAGCAATTTGATAATTACCACTGGGCTTTAGTCACCAAATTATTCTGTCTAATCAGACCATCCAGTCAGATTTTAGGGTTAGGTTTAAGACTAATGTCAGGGTTAGGGTCTTGTACACCTGGGGATTCCAGGCACTGAACATTTTGTATGTCAGTTCAGTTCATATGCTCAGTTCAGTTCATGGAGCTCTTTCCTAAGGATCCGATTATCTAAATCAGGTCAGTTTAAAGGTCAGGACACACCAAGCCAATGGTCGGCCGTCAGCCAATGTCAGGCCATCGGTGAGAACCGTTGGCAAGCACTTGTTTAGTACATCATCAACATATAACTTGCCTCTGATTTTAGGGGTAGGTTATAGTAAGGGTTTTGGTTTCAGGGTTGGGCAGGATCTAGACCTACTTCTGATACTTTCCATCTGGCAGTATTAAACTCTGATATAGCTGATAGTGGAAGCTACCAGTGCAGAGTTGAGCAGTACCAGCTTGATTGTGAGGGTCAGTGGAAACCAATGGCACGTGACCAGTCAGGCTCAACTATAGTCACAGTTCGCAGTATCGGTAATACAACCATTTACATCTTGTCCATGTTTAATCCCTTAGTGCAGTCTAACCATAGACTTTCAAAACCCTGTCATATTGTTTATGACTACCAACATAGGATCTTCCTTAAAAGTGTCTGTATGTTTTGTTCTTGTTGTTTGATATTTGAATTTGCGTTTAATTTAAACAGAAAGTAAACTGCGTGTTCAGAAGGACAACCGAACGCTCAACATTACAAATCATCAGGCTGGGTTCACCGTGGACTGTGTCATTGACTCACAATCCAGTGATAAGTCTGTCTTTGAGGTCACCTGGTTCAAGGTTCAGGAGGAAGAAGGATCAGTCACCATGTTCACCGCCAGGCGTGATGGTATCTTACACAGTGCAATTAGCTATACATATCTGGTGTTTGGCCGACCACTTGCCACACACTATAAACTGACTGTGCCACAGATCAACCCCACTGATATGGGGCAATACTACTGTCAGGTTGAGGAGTGGCTTCTAACTGCTAACACCTGGAAGAAATTGGATTCAGATAAATCTGGAGTGCTCTCCATCTATGTTCACACTGAAGGTAACTATTTAGAATGTAGAATGATTTTAGAGAACCCCTGCTGTAAGCAATTTGATAATTACCACTGGGCTTTAGTCACCAAATTATTCTGTCTAATCAGACCATCCAGTCAGATTTTAGGGTTAGGTTTAAGACTAATGTCAGGGTTAGGGTCTTGTACACCTGGGGATTCCAGGCACTGAACATTTTGTATGTCAGTTCAGTTCATATGCTCAGTTCAGTTCATGGAGCTCTTTCCTAAGGATCAGATTATCTAAATCAGGTCAGTTTAAAGGTCAGGACACACCAAGCCAATGGTCGGCCGTCAGCCAATGTCAGGCCATCGGTGAGAACCGTTGGCAAGCACTTGTTTAGTACATCATCAACATATAACTTGCCTCTGATTTTAGGGGTAGGTTATAGTAAGGGTTTTGGTTTCAGGGTTGGGCAGGAATGCTGATCTAGGACTAACAAAGATGTTGATCCTGGATCTTAGCAAACTCACGGTCACCTCAACAACACAGCCTCTAACCCAACCTTCCAGTGCAAAGTCAGTAAACTCGAAGGAGGTCTTATATACCTGGAAAAGTCTATCTGTTAGCATTCTCGTTCAACTCAATGGCAGTTTCTTGGCTAACACAAGATCCCCCGGAACTACATACATATTTTGAGGAATGCACTTTAGTTGTAAATGACTAATCACTCTGGAGCTGCAGGAAATTACATAATGACAACACTAACTCTAATAGTATTTTTGAAATCACTTAAAGCATGTTTATCTATAAATCTTGTATATCTACAAACAAATATTTTTAATTTCCAAAAAGCTAATATCTAACATTTAATTTGTCTTCTCAGGTGATTCTGAAAAACAGACAGAACCGTTGGGAATGGCACTGGGAGTCACTATTCCTCTGATTTGCTTTCTTGTATTGGTCATAATATTGTTGTTGAGAAGGGCTCACAAGAGGAATTCTGAACTGAAGAAGAAGAAAGACTGTCTGTGGGCTGAAAATAACCCCCTTAGTCCCATGCCTGAGGTGACGCCTGCTGCAGGGGATCATTCCTAGTCTGTCTAGCACAGTGACTGTATTAGTGCAGTAATACACAATTACATAAACAAAATGTTGTTTCTGAGGGATATCTATTTTAACAAAGTTAACTTACCCCTACATTTAAGGATAATGCATTTGCATTGCTATAAATAAATTAATTATGAGGCAAGATATTTAAACCAGTGGTTCTTAACTGGTTTTGTTTCAGGGCCTTGATTTTACATTATACATCAAGTGATGACCAAACACAGAATCCTACCAAACTAAACAAGAATGTTTGTTTAATAACCATGACAGTTTTAACAGGCTTGTCTTTATAGTTTGAGCATCTCTTGAGTTTAGATTCATACTCTTAGCTATTAATTCACTGCAAATATCACACTGTGGCCATGTTTAATCTCTTTTGAAAACATATTTCATGTATCCTAGGTTGCATTTTACCTCGCGTAGTTTTGCTCTTGGTTTTTGAGGATGAAAATGTCATGCAACCTGTCCATGATAATTTCTGCTGAGTGAAAGAAGAAAAATGTGCCAGTAGTTTGTTTGTTTGCACAGTCTTTGAAGTCAACATAGAAATATATAAGAAGCATTTTCTCCTTGTTTTTTTAAGTATTGCTACTATTTATTCTTGTTTTCACCCTGCTGTAGGCTACTTGTCCTATTAGAACAGAACTACAACATATTTTTCACTTGGTTTTTGCAGTTGTAATTGCAAATAATTAAAGAGCTCACATTGGAATTGTGCTGTATACATGGCTGTAAACAAATGAAGTTACAGTTACAATGATGCTATATTTTCAATTGTATGCAGTTAAATTTATGACATTTCAGGGCTGTACGTTAACTTTTTTTTTTTTCACATAGCACTGGCGCTACAGAGGTTGAAAGTTTTGTAGCACAGGCCAAAAAGTTGTAGCACAAGTATAAAACGTCTGTTATCATGTCTGAAAACAAACACAAGTAATGGAGTTCATCACTTAAACAGGCACTGATGTTCCATACAGAGCACAAAAAATACAAACCATCACAAAAATTGTTTTTAGACAAAGTTTTCTTAATTTGCTAAAAATGGAAGAGTGCAGAAATATAACACATCTTGCACCTTAACAAAATATAAAATAAAAAAGAATGGCAGACATTTAGGCCAAAGTGAGCAAAGATAAAAATCTTTGTCATTATTTTATCTTTGTTATTAGAAAATAAGAACAAAGATATACATTACAAATACACATAATATACAAATAAAACAAACAGTGCTTTATTTTTCAGGTACAGTATTTAGCAGTAACATTCAAGAAATTGAATGAACAAATATTAAAATAAAACACTATATACACTA